CCTTGACCAGGCAGTGTCCCCATAGTTGGTTTCCTTGTTCTGTAAAACAAAGTACTGTTCTATTGGTAGTCAGAGTGCTGAGCAGTAGCCTTGTTGAATGCTGGGACAAGTCTCGACTAAATGAGAACAGAGGTTGTGTCAGCTAGAGATGGTATAACCCAACAGACCCATATTTCTCATCCCATTGGTATCTACTATCTTCTTTGAGCACAAACTCGCCAGGCTGCAAGTGTAGACCAGAGTGGAGAGATCCACCTTAGGATGGTTGCATCCTCAGCACCACAAACAAAAGCCCATAAACCCTCCAGCTCCCTGGATTTGGGGTTGTGCTATATAAAGAGATCTGCTTAACTATGTACACATATGTATGCAAATACATGTGACTTTTCCTTTCTTAGATTTTTCTCTTAGATTTTTATTGAAGACACATGTCATGGTATTTTAGCTTCAAAGGCGGTGAGGGGACAATGCAGAGAATGTGTCTAAATAAAAAGCAGCATTGGAATATAGTCACATAGACTTCCTACCCACTGTGCTTCTGGAATATTGTGTCTTGTGGGGGGAAAAGCAAAGCAACATATGGGTCCCGGCCCATGTAAGAGAGTTATGCCCAAGTGAAGGAAAACAAAGAAGGCAATGCACAAAGTATAAGCTGTTTGTTACCAAGAGAAGGACAGTCAGAATAAGGTTCTCTGTCTCCCATGTATGTGCTTCTATGAGATACTAAACACACTACATAAAATTGTTGCTTTTGGAGGAAGCTAAAGAGCTTGGGCAGGATTTAATGCCCAGCACGGTAGCATCCAAAAACAAATAGTTAAAACTAGAAAGCAGCCACACAGAAGTAATTCTCTATTATTAGACCAAATGTGTACCCACACAGATAGATTGAGCATTTGAGTTGTGTGCAATGTTTTGTTTTCCTTTCATGCTTTATGTAATTTCATGGTTGGCAGCTATTATGCTGTCTTACAACTAATACATACTTTTAAATTGTATTAGCATTCTGCTGCCTTCTTTAATAGGAAATGCTCAGAGAAAGAGTCTTCATAAAACAAGGGTCTACAGTGTATATAGGCATGGATTTGGAAAAGCACTAGATGCTTATTGGGTACCAAGATGAATGATTTTTAGCGGTATTTAGGGTCTGCATCAAATATAGACTCTTTGAAAAGATGTGGTTTAATAGTGCAGTTGATGACTAATTTTAAAGTCACTTAAATTTAAAATAATATACTACATTTGACTTTATTATATAGAATAAGGTGTCAGAAGCATAGAGTTAGGTAAGGCATGCTTAGAAGGGTAACAATTGCCATCCTGGGGGGGCTGGAGAAATGGCTCAGTGGCGAAGGGCTTATTGCTTTCAGCAGACTTGAGTTTGTTTCTCCCCATCCATATTGCAGCTCAAAACTGTCTGTAACTCCAGTTCCAAAGGAGCCTATATACTCCAGCCCCTACACACCCATGTGGTACCCACAAATGTCCTCTGTGTCTGTCTGTCTGTCTGTCTCTCTCTCTCTCTCACACACACACACACACACACACACACACAGAGAGAGAGAGAGAAATAGTAAATATAACAAAATATCTCTTTAAAATTTCTATTCCAGTTAGATGTTTTCAAGACTATAGCTACAGTGATTACATGCACAGAGCCCTGGGTTCAACCCTCAGGTACCCTCCTAAAATCCCAATGCTTGGGATGTACAAGTACTAAGGTCAGAAATGCAAGGCCATCCTTGCTACACAGTGAGTTTGATGCCAGCCTACACTATGGGAGACCCTATCTCAAAACAAAAGCAAGCTGCCACCAACAGGGCTACACAAGGTCTTAGCGTCCTTACAAACGACAAAGCCTTTACTGTAAGTTAACCCACCTAGGTGCACCAAACTTTGTCCAACAGTGCCATATCAGAGCCCAGAAGGGACAGTAATAGCCATTTCCATTTGGACGGGAATATTTCTAGAATATTTCTAGAAACTGCTCAATGAATAGTAATAATCTGTTCCCATATGTAAATATTTTTTATGTGGCTACTAAAAAGTTCCCAAGTGTCCTGAGACAGTTTTCAGTGTCCTTTTGGTGACTTTCACATGACAATGTGTCTGTCCTTAGAACAAGAGTCAGTTTTCCAGGGGCTGGAAAAATACACCCACATGGTACCCATAAACACCCTCTGATTCTGTGTTTTTTTTTCTCTTACACACACACACACACACACACACACACACACACAGAACCACAGAACACTAACAATTTGAGAAAAAATTCTAATTTTTGCAAGGTGGCTCAGCACTTAAGGGCACTAGCTGCTCTTGCATAGGACCTGGATTTGATTCTCAGCTCACACATGTCTGCAACTTCAGTTTCAGGGAATACAACACCCTCTCCTGGTCTCCCTGGGCAAAATATTCATATACATAAAAATAATGATTTTTTTTTTAAAAAGCTAATCTGCCAATTGAACTGTAATGGTTTAAATGTGAAATGGCCTTCACAGTGATTTGAATGTGAAATGACCTTCACAGTGTTTGAATGTGAAATGGCCTTCACAGTGTTTGAATGTGAAATGACCTTCACAGTGGTTTAAATGTGAAATGACCTTCACAGTGGTTTAAATGTGAAATGACCTTCACAGTGTTTGAATGTGAAATGACCTTCACAGTGTTTGAACACTCAGTCCTCAACTGCTGACACTGTTTGGGAGAATGCCCAGCAGTTGACACAGGCCACTAGGAGCAGACCTTTAAAGGTGAATCTGCTCACGTTTTCATACAAACTCTCTTCCTAAACTGACAGGATATAAACAAGTTATTCTCTGAGCTCTCACCGCACAGATGATGAAGCTGCTGCAGCAGCCACTGTGCCCTCCTGTGATAGTGCTGAAACTGTGAGTCAAGATGATCGGCCTCCCCTTAGGTTGTTTCTGTCAAGAATGCTACTGCAGGACAAGCAAAACAACTAATACGCCAAGTCTGCAGGCACTGGAGGTTTGCCCACAGCATCTCCTGGTTCAGTTGTTTGAGTTATATACTTTGGAGGAAATGCCAACTTCTACAGTTAATGAAGTGGATTTATTTTGTTAGTGATGCTGATGTTTGTTGTCCATGCTAGGAATGTGTTCTAGCACTGAGTGTGTGAGTGTGTGTGAGTGTGTGCATGTGTGTGTGTGTGAGTGTGTAAGTGTATGTGAGTGTGCGTGTGTGAGTGAGTAAATGTGTGTGTGAGTGTGTGTATGTGTGTGAGTGAGTGTGTAAGTGTGTGTGAGTAAATGTGTGTGAGTGTGTGCATGTGTGTGCATGTGTGTGTGAGTGTGTGCGAGTGAGTGAGTGAGTGTGTAAGTGTGTGTAAGTAAATGTGTGAGTGAGTGTGTGCATGTGTGTGAGTGTGTGTGAGTGTGTAAGCGTGTGAGTGTGTGCATGTGTGTGTGAGTGTGTGTTGTGTATGTGTGTTGTGTGAGTGAGTGTGTGAGTGAGTGTGAGTGTGTGAGTGAGTGTGTGAGCGTGTGTGTGAGTGTGTAAGTGTGCGTGTGTGTAAGTGTGCGTGTGTGAGTGAGTGTGTAAGTGTGTGTAAGTGTGTGTGTGAGTGTGTGTGTGTGTGCTTGCATTTAAACTCATTAATATGAGTGTCATGAGCACCGTGCAGGTGTGGGACGGCTTTGTGAAGCAGCCTCTTTCCTTTCACATTTATGTGGCTTGGGATGGATCCAACTCAGGTATCAGATTTCAGAAGCACACACTTTTATAGGTTGAGACATCTCCCTATTGTCAACAGGTAAGTCTTGAGGAATATTATGCAAAAGAACAATATCCAGTGACAGCATAAACAGAGAAGCAAAGAAAATGGCACGGGCCACAATTCTGAGGCCCCCGTCAGTAAAACGGTCTCAACGGCCCGGATCCATCCTAAAAGGAACCATTTGTTTCTATGAAACTCCCTGGATGGGAGGGTCAAGGCAAAGCGAATGCAGACGTGGTTGAAGAGGGTCAGCCAGTCAGACCTGAAATTTGAAGTTTCCAGTCTGAATAAGAAAAGAAGGAGATTGATTCCACGTGCAGATGACAAACAGAGTGACCTGAATGTCATAGCGAGATCCCTCCCCATCTGCAAAGCTCCCAGAAAGAGGAAAATTGCTGGGGAGTGTCTAGGGTGGAGTGTAGTGTCTAATACACTCCAGTCACCCTGGGTGCCCAGACATTTCCACTCATTCCCTTTCACTTGTCATGAATTGGGAGGCTGAATAAAACACGCTCAGAAGACAGACCTGAAGCCCAGACAAAGCAGGTTTTGCTTTGTTTTATTTCCCTGTGTGGAAGTCTGAGGTTTCTAGTGACGAGGGGGCTGTTTCCAAGACAACCTGGGCCAATGCATGTCTCTGAAGGAGAACCAAGCAAAGGCTGTAGGATGCTAAAGAGGAGAAACAGAGACCAAAAGGACTCAACAGTTTCTACTACATAAGCTTGAGCTGGTGCTGAATTGCACTCTCCTGAGCGTGTTCTTGGGACCAGCGTCTAATCGCCGTGCCAGGTCTCCACAGTTCTTCCCATTCCCGAGGCATTCTAGGTGCTAACACTTTTCTTCTTAGGCAAAAACGTACGAAGACGAGCAATGAAGAAGACGGGTAACATCTGTGCCCTCTGACATGGCAGTGCACTGGGACGGAGGTGGCTGGCCTGCCGAGCATTTCGTACTCTTGTGAGGCAGAGCTCTACCTAGTTTTTGAACAGCGTATCGTGTTAAGTCATGCACCCTTTTCCTGTCTTATTTACTATGAGCCATGTGTGGCATTCCTGAAGACTGATGTCACCACCTGACTGCCACATTCAAGGCCTCTTTTAGCTCTCTCCACCATCATGGAGAATGGCATAGAAGGGGGTAGGACCGTGGACTCTGGTTCCAGTTAGCTCTTAAATCTTCCCTTCTGCTAGCTAAAGTGGTACACTGTGCTCAGGTGGTCCAGGTTCAATTAGTTAAGAGAGAAAGCATTTATGCATACCTTTGAAGCTTCCCTGTGACGATTCTGTCTCCAAGAGCCTTCATGTCATTTGCCAAATTCACTTTCTGCAGCTGATGGCAGCTGGCCCTCAGCACCTGGGATGGAGAACAAAGGCGTTATCAACTGCATTTTTGTCAGGAATGTCTCTCATCCCTCAGATGTCACCCTTTCACAGCCGCAAAAGGAGAGCATCATTGGGAACAATCTTCTGAAAACCACACATTAATTCTTAGAGGTATACCAGGTAATTCAACCCTTTTCTAGAAGCTTCCATTTTGCCTTTTCTGGAAGGGAATGGCTTCCCATTAGTACCATTTCATATTATTCTTTGCTTGGATTTCATAGCTTCAATAAAGGAGAGTTCCTTTTAAAAGGTTTATAGTGTGTCCCACATTTAAAAGTCGAGGGACGTCTAATTTCAGGTTGTGGGATCTATTTTTAAGGAAAATGCGCTGAATCATAGAATCTTTCCTAAGCTGTTATTTGATGAGTATCAAAGGACGGCTTTACAAGAGGTTCAGTTTGTTTCCATTTTGCATTTACAGCAGGTGAAAATGTGTCCACAATAAATGTAGACACTTCACATAAGAGCAACACTTGTTTCAATATCTTTTTAATGAAGTCTATCGTACCATATTTAACATGTGTATGTAGCATGCACACATTCTGGGTAAATGTGTGCATAATGTGTAAGTTAGATGAGGAAATACTAGGAGAGAATAGGAAAGTGACACACCATTTAACTGTTCAACATTTCCTTTGCTTTTAGAGTCTTCCTCATGAAACCAACCTTTAAGAGAGATTTATGTAAAGCTTGAAGCTTTCTTACCTCTCCGTGGGTGAGTACAATTGTATGTATGTATAAAAGATGTATACATTTGGGAGAAAACATGGAAATGCTTACACCTTTAATTCTGCATGTTCCTTGAGAGTTTCTGGAGAAGAAAGGTAGAGACAAGGGAGTGGGTATGGGATGGGTTAGTGTGTGTGTGTGTGTGTGTGTGTAGCATGAGTAAGGCCCTAGGCTTAGCCTCCAGCTCACCTAACAAAAGCATCTTCCACTTCACTATGATGCAGGGTGATCTGGCTGTGGTCATCTGCAGAGTCTAACATCAAGGTAATAAACACTACATGTTTCTTGGCACTGCTCTGGACATGTTTCTGGGGGCAGATGGTGGAATTCCAGGTGACAATATTCACTGGCTATGTGATCTTGAGTTACTCTAACTCATACACTCCTTTAAAAAAAACAGGGCTTAAAATTCAGGCACTCTCTGGGTCTAATAAGAGGATTATATCCTCTTGAAAAACTATGAGGAGTTTCTCCCACAAAATATCACTTGAACTACTTTGAATAATTAATTCTGGGTTGCATAGTGGATTTATTGCCATATATATATATATATATATATATGTGTGTGTGTGTGTGTGTGTGTGTGTGTGTGTGTGTGTGTGTGTCTTTGTCTATGGTTGAGAAAACAAGTACAAGGGTTTTCTAAACCATCAGTATAGACTTTGATTTCTTATGCTTCAAATGACAACTTGGCAATTGTTACAGGCAGGTGAAAAAGAATAAGATAGCCGGAATCCATGCCTGCTCCTTGAACACCCAGAGTCAAACGCCAGTGTAGGAACACAGCCCCGGTTATCAGTCACACAGTCTACACCAGGAAACGTATGGCACACAGCTTTGATCATTTCATCGGATAGCATAAACTAAGGCTGAGGCTCCAGGCCCAGTTAAGTTGTTCATGGTACCATGACTAAAGAGTCCCTTAGCCTCACTCCCTCGGGCTGTCCAATGCCTGTGATAAGACACCATGACCAAGGCAGTTCCTTAAAGAAAGCCTTTATTAGTTCACAGTTTCAGGGTTAGAGTCTGTGATGATGGAACAAAGGCATGGCACGGTAGCAGCAACAGCTAAGACCCCACATCCTGATCCACAAGAAGGAGGCAGAGAGAGATACCAGGAAATGAGTCCTTTGAAGTCAACATAGGCCCTGGTGGCACAGCTCCTCCAACGAGGCCACGCCTCCAAACACTTCTGTAAACTGGGGACTAAGTATTCAAGTATGCGAGCCTATTGGGGCGGGGCCATTCACTCAAACCACAGCATCAGCTCCTCCCATTGGGGCGGGGCCATTCACTCAAACCACAGCATCATCTTCTCCCATTGGGGCGGGGCCATTCACTCAAACCACAGCATCCTCCCAGTTTTCTCTAGCCTAGGAAAGTCTACTTTGCTCTGCTCCACGTGTTAACATTGTAAGTGGGCCCCCTTACATCAACACCGGTCCCATATCTGACAAGTCCAATTTTTATTCCTTGCTCTCGGCAGTATAACCTGAGATACAATGTAGCACTCACTGTGCGGTCTGTTATTGTCCCTGTGGCCCCTGATTGTCTTGTCTCTCCTGTCAGGTTGGAGGATTATTCCCAGAGAGCTGTGTCATAGGCTCCATCGCCTCCTAATCCTCTTGCCACAGCAGAGTAGCTCTGGCAACTGCCAGGCAGTTCTGATCATCACCATACAAGGCGGTCAGGCAGTCAGGATCTTAACTGCATATTGACTCTTGGTTTGTCTTAGGTTTTGCTCAGATTTGATTTTTAAAAATACCTAATTTTAGTGGTATTAAAAACTATAAAATTAGTGGCTGGAGAGATGGCTCAGCAAATAAGAGCATTGGCTGCTTTTGCAGGGGACCTGGGTTCGATTCCCAGCACCCACATGGCAGCTCACAGCTGTCTGGAATTGCAGTTCCAGGGGGTCCAATTCTGTCTTGGCCTCTGCCTGTCATCATAGCATACAGATGCTGCTCGTGAGTGCATGCAGGAAAAACACCTCATACACATACAATAAAAACAAACCCATCTTTGGAAAATTAAAAATTAATTCTTGTCCCGCAGTGAAACTAGGTCATGAAGCGGATAGTCTTACTCTGAGTCATTCGCCCCTTTCTCTTTTTGAAGTTAGACAATTTCTGCAAGCAATGGCTTGGCCTAAGACTCAGAAGTGTCGCATGAGGCACACACACACACACACACACACACACACACACACACACACACACTCACATGCTTCTGAGTCTGTTTTTCTATTTCTAGACTGAGGGGGTAAGTTGAGACTGGAGGACCTTGGACCTCTGAAATCCTGGTTTCAAAGTCTGTAAGATTCGGGCACATCCACGGATGAGTGCCTGCCTTTCACCTATTGGTAATCTGCAGGGAGGTAGCACTTAGCTTCCTACTGTACCTGCAAACATGGGTCAGCTTTCTGTGCCACCATGTTTGTGCATTTGGTTGCGTGTGAATCTGGCTACAAGAGCTAGGTGAACGAACGCCATTCTTTTCTTGTTCCATGCCTCAGAGGGCTGCATTCTTGGCTTTTCAACTTCACCAACTCATCAGATTTTGCTGCAGAGGAATGTCATTAAAACCCCAGGCCTTGGTGAAAAACATTCACACTGTTCGTGGTTAGTGAAATGCTGTGATGGTGATGGATTTTTTTTTTTTTTTTTTAAGCTGTGTCTTGGAGCTATTTTTCTCTGCACACATCACAATCAGAAACATGTGGGCGTGGCGGGGGCAGGACTGCAAAGATGGCTCAGCGGTTTAGAGCACTGGCTGCTCTTCCACAGGTCCTGAGTTCAATTCCCAGCAGCCACATGGTGGCTCCCAACCATCTATGATAGGATCTGACGCCCCCGTTTGGCTGCAGGTGTACATGCAGAGTGCTCATACATAAAATATAAATTTAAAAGAAAGAAAGAAACACGTGTAGGGTTGAGTGGTGGTTTCATTCTTGCTGCTCAAGTGCATTCTGCCTTGGCTCCTCTGACCTTGAGAAAGTGGTCCCAAACTGCTTTCCCTAAAGGATGGTCCAAAGGCCCCAAATGTCCTCATTAGAAAGTTGCCACACATAACCCCGGCATGGTGAATGGTGCGTGCTTGTGAGATTATTGGTTCATATGCAATAACGTGAGGCCAGAAAACACGAGAAGTTTAGAACTTTCCAACTTTCCATTGAGCCCAGAAGTAAGCAAAGCCTTGCATCCTTGGCGCTGGGGCACCCGAGGCCATCTGCACTTCAGACGCTGTGGATGGAGACAAGCAGCCCGGAAAGGTGGAGGAAGCCCTTGTCTGCGTACCCAGGGAAACCATGGCGATACAGCAGTAGCTTAGGAAGGGCCCTGCTGCCCAGCCGGCCTGCAAGGCCTCAACGTGGAACCACATGGCTTGGCACCACGCGGCAAACTGCATTTTCTCCTCCCTCTTCTTGTGCTTCGTCCCTCTCCTCCTCCTCTACTTCGTAGGAAGAGATCACGCAGGGTCTTAATCCAGAGCCCAGGACCACCTGGCATTTCCTATGCAGCCCACAATGGCTGTGAGCTCACAGAAATTCTCCTGCCTTAACCTCCCAAGTACTGGAATGAGAGCCATAAATTACCACACCCAGCTGCTCTCTCTCTCTCTCTCTCTCTCTCTCTCTCTCTCTCTCTCTCTCTCTCTCTCTCTCCTCCATCTCTCCTGCCCACTTTTCCTCATTTCAGGATTGCGTGGTGAGGTTTGACTGTGTAGTTCAGGCTGACCTGGAATTCATAACTTAAACCCAGGGCAATCTTCCTGTCTTTTGCTTTCCATTCTTCCCTCCCCGCTGCGTCTTCCCTGCCCCTCCCCACACATTCTCCTGCGATATAGTCCAGCTTGGTCTGATAATTTCTACTTAGCTTAGGCTGGCCTGGAGCTCACAATTCTACTTTAGCATCCCAAGTACTGAAATTACAGGTGTGTATCATGTCTACCTCATGCTTGTCATTACTTTTTTATTTTTAATTAGATTTTTATCTACTCTCTCTCTTTGTGTGTGTGCATGCGTACACACACACACACACACACACACACACACATAACGTAGTGTGTATACAGGTCAAAAGGTTAGCTTCACTCACACTAGGCAAATGCTCCTTCACAGCTCCCACCCAATGATAAGTCATTTTGGCAAAAACAGCAATATTGTCATCATATCAAAAACCAGAAGGGCTTGCAATATAACTTCATGGCAGAGTACTTGCCAACCATCTGTATAGTTTGTGT